TGTATGAATAAATACCATTCTAGAAAAATGTCAGTGTTTCATATATATATATATAGTTTTTAATTTTCCTGTAGAATTTCTGCAGAGAAAACTTCTGAAAATGCGTGACAAAATGGTGCTTTCTTTTTGTTTTTTGAAATTGCTGAAAGTAAAATTATGTAATATGTTGTAGGGTTTATCGAGAAATTAACAATTTTTGTATTATCATGAAACTTCTAATATTACGATGGAAGACCACAATAGGTACTAAGTTGTCTTATCGTTTAACCGGTTTTATAAACTTCAATTTTTTTCAATTTTAATATGCACATTTCAATGCAATACAAGAAAACCAGTTAAATTAGTCATTAACATCATGCATTTGTAATATAAACGGCTTAATTAGTGGCATTGAACAGCATTAATAGGTACAATAAATCATTTCATTTACGAGGATTTTCTTGTTAAAAGAAAGATACGAGAAAAGTGCTCCTAGAGAGGAAATTATCCCTATTTCAGGCATTCGTATCCCTTATGTCGATAAGATTATTTATTTATCACGATCTTATTTGAACTGACGCTGTTCTGATTCGGATCTAAAGATCGTCGTGTATTGGAGTTGATTCCTAACGTTTCGCTAGCACGAGTGTTTCTTCACCTACTGCCCGCGATAGGTTTTATTCATTTATCCTGGCAAATCCATTTATCCCTACTTGTGTCATCAACCATAAAGTTTTTTTTATTCACTTTGATTTGCTTCAACGAATTACCTTATTAGGTATATGTCATAGATTATATTACACACATAAAATTAATTATTCTATCCCTTAGGAACAGTATTTTTTTCTGGATAAAAGGTATTTCATTTTCTTTTCTGTTCCCCTAACAATATGTGTACAAAATAGGTTTTACTCGTGGTTTTGTTTATTATCCTAAATACATGTCAAGTGAAATTAATTTTTTTCTATCTCTCGGAATTTTTTTCTGGATGAAAGGTGACTTTTTGTACCTTTTTTGCACCCCTAACAATTTGTGTATAATAGTTTATGATAGGTTTTACTCGTTCGCCTTGATATCCTAAATACAAAATCAAAAATTATATACGACCACATGAAATTAATTTTTCCATCCCTGAAGAACGGTATTTTTTTTTCTGGATAAAAAGTATCCCATGTCCTTTTATGTACTTTTGACAATGTGTGTGTCGAATTTCATGATGATCGGTTAAGTGGTTAAGGCGTGAAAAGATAGTAAATGTAGTAGTACATGTATTTCGTCAATATATGAATTTATATTCATTTTCGCTTCAAGAAAGAAAGTATTAGTAACTACTATCGAACATTTTATATAAATATGATATGATAACGGATCAAAAATATTTATTGCGAGCCAATTAATTTAACCTATGCACCTTAAACGCAACGAGAAAAAAATCTTCAAATAGAAGTAAATTAAATCATTAAATCAAATATTTTATATTCGTGAAATAGTGGAATAATAACAGTAAACAGTAAAAGATAACAACTAAAGAAGCGCAATGTTATTATAAAATGATGCAGTTCATCTTTTATCACTCTTCTTATTGGGTGCAGCAACTAAATAAATCACTATGTATGTGCTCTACTTCATTATTATATGATATAAATACCTACTGATAACATAATTACGAGTTATTTAATTTATTTGGTATCTACCTTCTCATTTTTTTCATTATCTCTCGCAAAAGTAAACTCTATCAGTACTGAGTAGGTACTTGGTGTATACAGTTTTCTTATCAAGTGTATTACTTTATANCTAAAAGATATGCATACTCATCTGGTGTTACTAATGAATAGGCAGTTCCGGTTCTGCCAGCTCGTGCACAACGACCTTAAACAAGAGAGCTTTTAAAAAAATAGACCAAATATATATTTCAACAATAACGTTCTTACCGACTCGATGCACAAAAAGTTTTGATTTTGCAGGAAAGTTAAAGTTAATTACATTATCTAGCTGGGGTATATCAATTCCTCTAGCAGCAACATCTGTTACAACTAAAACCTTAACTTTTCCTGTTGTAAATTTTGCTGCGTGAATTTTTCTAGCTGATGGATCCAAGTTTGAATAGATATACGTGTTACTTATGCCACAATAATCTAGTATCTATGAATAAAATAATGAAAAATTGTGAATTAAAATTAAAAGTGATTTTGTATTAAATAATGGATAAAAAAAATAGTACCGAATGTAAATATTCAACATGGTGTTTTGTTGCAACAAAAACAACTGTTTGTTGTTTACTATCAATATGACTTTTCAGTAACATAAGTAGAGCTGCAACTTTTTCCTCAGGACGTACAATTAAAAATAGTAACTTCAACTCAGTGGGTAGTTTTGATTCAACATCCAATCTGAAATCAATACATTCAGATTTAAATTAATGTTACAAAAAAATTAAAATAAAGAAAAGAAAAAAAAAAGTAAAATACCTTATTAACACAGGATCACTCAAGCCAGCTTTTGCAAAATCCACAAGTACTTTAGGAAGTGTAGCAGAAAAAAGAACAGTTTGTCTCGAATCTGGTAATCTACATAATACATGTACTTTTAATGCATAGTATTATTTCAAAGATTTGTTATTATCAAATTATCAGAACTCTTATTAATACATCTAATTTACAACGAAACCAAGAGAGAATTGTAGAATATTTTGAATTTAATGAATTACCTACTTTTAAATTTTAACAAATGTAAGACTATAAAAAAAATAAAAATATATAAATACCAAATGATACCTCTAATCGTATCATTTTTGATAAAATGAAATTATTTAAATTACTTTGAAAAAATACATATAAAAATTTACCTGTTAACAATCTCAGTAAGCTGTTCTCCAAATCCCATTTCAAATAGTCTGTCTGCTTCATCAAATACAACATATTCAATACTTTTTAATTTTAGATCCATCTCTATGCAGACATGTAAAAATCTGCCTGGAGTAGCTACTATAACATCTGGATTACCATGAATAGACGAAAATTGTTCTTCCATTGAATCTCCTCCTAGGACAACTGCTGCTTTTAATCCAGTAAATTTTCCCAGTTCTTTAATAAATTTAAACGTCTACAACAAACACTTATGTATATTAACAATTTATAATTTTGTATACCCCCCTTACTTGTAAAACTAGCTCCCTTGTAGGTGAAAGTATAAGTGCTCTGGCACCTGCTTTAGCAATTCGCATTTTAAGTTTTTCAAAGAGAGGAATTAAGAAACATGCTGTTTTACCACTTCCAGTTCGAGCCATAGCAACAACATCGCGTCCTTCCATTACGAGCGGTATAGACTGTAAAATTTAATATGAACTGTTTGAAACATTAATAATTGTGCATATTACTTTTCGTTGAATTGGTGTTGGTACTTTATAACCACGTTTTGTTATTCCTTTTAAAACGTTAAAACTTAAACCCATTGTTTGAAATCCTCCACCTTTCTTAGATTTTTTTTTAACCGTATCATTTTGTAGGTCTTCGGAAACTTTAAACGTATCCAAATTTTCGAAGCCTGGTAAAACACTGTCCATTTCAGAGGTATTTATGAATTTTTCACTATCTTGTAGACAGCTATACATATAACCTACATAACCCTACATAACCTCTAATATTCCAAGTGAATATCTATGCCATAGATAATAGATCTACAAACGGATTTATAACAGTATATACCCTTTGTGTATCTATTATCTATGTATTTCATTAATCTATGATGACCACAACACATGTTTTTGTTGGATATTTGTTATACATCAAAGAGATTAATAATAAAATCGAATAAATCATTTATTATTTACATAATTAGTGGAAATAAGGAAGATGCAGGAAAAAAATAAAGAGCGTGAAAGTCTCGGAGAAAAAATTGCGGAAATTTTAACTCCAGTACCCACAATTTTTGATCCTGAAGATGACGTAAACGAAGAAACCGTTGCAAAGGTAGTAGAAAACGTTTTTGAAGATGAAGATAAAAATGAAAATATCGGTGAAAAACTGGGCAAAATTAGACAGAGTTTCAACTTTCTAGAAGATGTTGATAAACGTTACACAGGAACTAAAAGTAGTAGAAAGAACATTGAAAATGAATCTAGTTTTAGTGGTTCAGAGGATTTAAATGGTAAGTACCTATTGAAAAAAGAATAATAAATGTAAACAGTATTGTTTTGTTTTAGATGACAATAAAGAAATAAGTGAGGAAAGCTTTGAAGAACAAACTTCAATTGATGAAGACAGTGAAGAAGAAGACCAAGATTCTGAAACTGAAGACAACAAAAGTGAAGTATCTGAAGATGAAAGTAAAAGTAACTTTAAGCATATTAATGATATTAATATGAAAACTCAAGTTTCAAAAGGAACAAGTGTTTGTAATCAATTAAACATCTGGGAAAGTTTAATGGAGTTAAGAATTCAAATGCAAAAATGTTTGATAGCATCAAACAAGATGCCTCAGAAAGATCATTTTGAAGAAATCAAACAGCAAAGTGGATCTGACTTTGCAAATAAAGTTTCAGATACAAAAAATACAATAATTAAAACATTANATGATAAATAAATTCTTAGTAAAACTGATAAAAGAATACGTATTTAATACTAAGGTAAAAAGAAAGTTTCTGTCTGTCGATTTGTACATCTTGCTGCAGTTGATTAGGTATCTTAGCAACAACAAGCGTTACTTTTAATAATACTTTAGTTTTCATTGTAAAAAAGGAAATTGGTATATTTTGTAGAATTCAATTGTCTTACGGCGTGCTGAAGAGATTCAATGAGATAGAAATTTGTTCGTTGCAAAGAAGTCCAGAATGAGTGGTCTGATTTTAAAGATGAGATGACGAAACAGAAGGGTTTTACTACTAAGAAATTGGTACATTTTGTGGGATTCAACTGTCTACGGCGTGCTGGTGAGGTCCAGTAAGATTGAATTTCGATCTACATAGAATACTAATCACTGTGAACTTTTTGTACAAAAGGGTCTTTGCCGATTATTAAACCAGGCATTTATCGCTACATGTATGAATAAATACCATTCTAGTCATTTCCTAAATTGGCAAATGCAAAAACATTAAGCGCAAGTATGGGAAAAATATGTAGGTACATGGTTATTCAAATACAAATTAATAATATAATACTTAAATTGTCGAATGGTTATTAGTTATATTTATGTGAAATCCTTATCAATAGCATGTGCGCTATCAGCTTTACAAAACCATTGATAATCTTTCAGTGAAGTTGATTTCTAATGACCTCCTTAAGCTATCACTCGGTCTAGAAGTGAATTATTCATAAAGTCGACGACTTGTGATGTGCAATTTTTTTTTAAGAATGTAGCCACACACGCTGCTAGACAGTGCGAATTTTAAACTTTAAAGTCTGCTCTTACAATTAATGGCGGTTTGTGCATATGATAAATGATAGCTAACATATATATTGTTGGTAATAACACGTAACAATATTCACTGCATTCATTTTTTATTTGCCATCAACGTTAACTTTTAAGCACACTAATATGAAAAATGAGAGATAGAATGGTACCCAGTGTCCTACCATCTGAGACATGGAGAGAGACGTACTAGAAGCAGAAACAGGAGTAAAAAGGGACAGAAGAAAGTCTAGGCTAAAAATACTACTGTCTTTTTCTCTGATTGTACGATATCCTAGAAATAAAATTAAATCATTACCTTTTAGTAAATTTTCCTTTTACAGTTCCTTAAAAATCGAATATCTGTAACAAGCTATCCGAAACTATCGGAAAGTCACTAAAAAATTTTCTGTCGTCCTGTTGTAAGTCATTAAATAATTGAGAAACTTCACAAAAAGTGTATCGTTTTACACATATCTCCCTGTATTACATTTCCAAATTAGGTTCTTCTCTCGTTCTTTCTGAAATTCCTCTTACAATTTAAGCATAACGTAAAATTCTTCATCAGACGACTCACGTTGTTAATTAAAACTGCGTTGCATTCCGTCCGCTCGCTGCGCTCCAGTGTGCTCATACCTTTAATCTTCAAGCGCAAATGTTTCTTACTACCAAAGGCGAAACTTTTCGTTTGTAGTTAAAGGTGACCAAAATTATTTTCGTTCATTCATCAATATTTAGAACTGATATAGGCAGTATATAATTTTGTTAAAATAAAAGGGCTTTTCGTGGAGACTAATTTTCAAACGTATTTAAGTCGACGAAAAAACAGTCAATTGAACGCGCTTTTCACAAATATTGCCGTATCGGTAAGAGATACACATACGAATGGTTTATGTGAAACAGTTGTAGAGTTTAAAAAAGCCCATAAAAAATATCACATTTAACAGTTACACACTGAATTCCAAGCGGAAGTGGGCGCATATAGTACTTGATGTAATTGTAATTGTAATTGTGTAAGGATATAAGAAAACAATTCAGATTTGAGTACACTTAGGAAATGTATTAGTGGATTAAAAGATAATTTTTTATGTGCCCCGTTCCCCCCGGTTGCTATACTTACGTATATTTTTGTATTTGCTTGTGTTTTGTTGAAATTTTGTTTTTCTTTTTCTGACTAATCATCTAACGTTATTGAAACTTGTATAGAGGCTTTCTTTCCATTTTTCTCTCAACCCGAAATTTTGTGTGAGTTCCTGTATGTCAGTGATTCCGAACCTGACGGTAATTACCCCCGCGGGGGTAAATCAGTTATTCTGTGGGGGTAACAAAGAACCTAATGATTAAGACCTAAAATACGCAGCTAGCTAATAAAAATATAAAATTATAGATGTGTCGATGTTTATACAATTGTAAATATTTAACCACACAAAATCACATTTGAAAATTCTATGATTCAGCCTTTATCTGCAGCAATAAACTCACTGAGGCAATATTTTCCGGATATGGATAATCGTCAGTCCAGTTNCATAATTATTAATGAGCGAATGATTTATAAATCATACTGAACAAAACCTGTTTGTTATTATAACTTACAGTTTTATTATGATGCAAAAAATTAAAAAGAAATGATCACTTAAACGAAAACATTTTATTTTAACAATTACATTGTTGATATTATTGTAAATATAATTCTATTCAAACGGGTTTATCTCCTTCCTACACCCAACGTAATGTAACACCATACAAAAGTTAATTGTCGTGGAAAATTGCTAAAATACCGTTTGCTTGACCCCCAACGCCCCACTTTGTAACGCACCTTAACCCCCTCTTGCATTACATAATACTTTAGCAATTTTTTTTTTTTTTAATGATTACCATTATCTTATATTAGGATTGATGATTTATTAATTGATAAAAATGTCCAGAACGGTTCAGAGTCTTTGAGTAATCAGCAAAATTTGTGCTGGTCTTGCGTTTTCGCAAGACTACCACCATGACTATCTTTATACTAGCGAGATAAAGACCAAGACTGAACGAACAAGACCAAGGCTAAAACCAACACGGAACAGGCAAGACCAAGACTAAACATAAAAAAAAGAAAATTTATAACTGAAAAAAGGGATCTATAAGAATGTCCTCGAAATAAGTGTTCATTGTTTCTACATATGTCTTGATAACACATGGTTGAAATATAGAGACAAACTAATTTTCTTTGGTATTTTTTACTTGTTTCAAGTACCTTGTATGTACTACTTTGTTTGTAAGTTCTTGAGTTTTCATAACTCTCACAACTATCGATACCATTTTCTTTAAAAGTCACGACATTCTCGCATGAATGACAGAAAATTTTAGCATTTAAGATAATTATTGTGTCGATAAGAAGAATTAATAAAAGAAAAAAACGTACGTATCAGATTAAATGAGCAAAACCAAGATTTAACAAGCATCTTAAATATAATACATTTACCTAATTGTAAATTTAAAAATTAATGTGTTCACCTAATATTATTAAATAAAAAGGATTTTGAAATGCTTGTAGTACGTATTTTCCAAAAACCCATGGGAAAATAATGTACATTCTATTGAAACACGTAAGTACCTACAGACTGGTGCAATTTTATATTGTATCTATTAACGGTATTGTAATAAGTGTACATTCAAATAAATACTTATAACTTAAGTAGGTTGACAGGGGTTATCAAAGCGATGTATTTACTAATAAAAGCAGAGCTATTGTGTGTAGGCAGTAGATGTGTACGTTAAGTGAAAGTAGAACATAGCAGAGATACCAAGCGTTGACTAGAAGTTTTCGTTTTATTATAAACTGAGGGAAATACCAGGGCTGCCATAAATAGAGAAACGTTCCCTATCAGTTCATTTTTAGTATTAAATCTATAAAATCCAGTCCAAATTCAGTCTAACAATTGTTACAATACAGATATTGGTAACGATTTGTCACCTTGCAGAATTTTGGCGGGCCGATATTGTCCTTCCTGTTGTAATAGTACACAAATCGTTTTAGTAGGTAGGTATTTATAACAATTATTTACTTATTAGTTTGTTTCACCGGTTTTAACCTTCTCGGCGAATATTCTTTATGAAGTGGACCTAATGAGACGTTGCGAGGGTGGTATTTAAAAGAAAGAAAATCATAAAATTATTAATTTCGATAGATTTATGAGTTAAACTGTTTGAAGCAATTTTAATACATTCTTTTCTTAGACATAATTTTTGATAAGAAAGACGTGAAAACTGATGTGTTTGAAATACAAAGTGTAAAGTACTTACCTATCAAACTATTCTCTATTTCAAACAGATACCTAACTAAATGGAAAACTTCTGAAAATTGAATAGCATAGAGTCACAAATCTTGTACTGTATATTTTTGAGAAGCTACTTTATAAGGCTTTGTATCAGGTTAATTGATTTAGAACCTGCCATATACCCGAAAGACAACTGTTAAGTATTGACTTTTCAAGATTTTTCTCTTGTTTTCCCAACGTTTCGTATACTGAACCGTACTATTAATTTTAAAATTTTCATACCTAGCTGTAAGTAAATGTTATATATTTTGAACTACTAAAAGAGTAAAAAAATATTTTTTTAGTCAATTGTAAAAGTAGGAATAACAAGATTTCGTAGTTTTTAAGATAGTAGGAAAATTTACACTTTTCCATTCTCTATCGAATTGATTCGTTTCCTGCGTGCGCGCTAGTCTTCGGTATGTTCTGTTAGGTTTTACGTATGACACATTTTTTTATACGTAATAATTATACATGTCCGACCCTGTCTATTATCCGCGAGAGAGTACGGTGGGATGGCAATCTAAAAAGTAGCGTCATTTCTCGATGGTACATTAGTTAGTGGACGACAAGTACAATTTTAGTTAAGCGCGCGTGTGCATGGTTGAAAGTTGCTCGACAAAATAAAAACCGCAAAACAAAACGAACTTCACGTCCGTCCTAGTATAATATATATACGTGTGCCGGTTTTTTTTTTCGCTAGGTACCTACCTGTTGAGTGAGCGCACGGTAAGTTCAATATTATCGAAATTTGTAGTTAAGAGTTTTGCGTAGTATAACCGAAACATTTATTCAACGTGAAAATTTTGTTTAAGGATGTTTAGGAGGTATGTCAAAATGCTACGAGACAAATAAAAATTTGCAGGAACGTTCCTCATTCCCTCATTCGATTCTAAAACTCCAGTAAAAATTACAAATCGATTCACTAAACCGTTAAAAAGTTATTGAAATTTTAAAAAATTGTAATTTAATTAGTACATTTTGTTATTTGTAGTATTGATGATATGTGTAGTTTAGCTAAAGCTACAAATATCAGAGAAATATCAGTTGACAATAATCCAATATCTTTAGCTGGTGATTGTGTTTCTTTTCTGGTTTCTTACCTTCCACATCTTATATTCATAAATGGAATGCAAATAACTGAACAAGTACGTAAAGCAGCAATGACTTGGCGTCGCAACAAAGAATTTTCAAGTGCAACATTCATGGATTTAACAAGTGATATTAAATCAAATGCTCATCGTGAAGAAGTCATATCAAATGCAAGAACAAATTGGGAGCTGTTACGGTCACAGAGTAAAAATTTGACCACTGGAGCTTGTATATCTAGTATAGCAACAAAATTACTTAAGCCCGACCCCGATTTCATTCTTACCTCTTTGAATAATCCCGAGCATAAACCGCAACGGTTACAGAAATTAGTAAGAAACAAAGTTCCTATTTTACCTGATAAAAAAATTATGGGAAGGACATCTTCTCAAGATACTGAAAATTCTCAGAATACATCATCTTCAAACACATCTAGTAGTGGATGTTTTAGACTGCCACCTATCTTAGTTCCTTTAATTGATAGATTAGAAAGTAAGGACGAAATTAAATTAAATGTTTTGAAAAGATCGGGAAGCTTGAGTAGCTTAGGCCCAAATGTGGATAGTTCAATTAGCTCGTTGTTTAGTAATACCGATTTAAGTGCTTCAAGTCAAAATTCGAGTGAAAGTTCTTCTGAAGAGGAGAATGAAACAAAAAACGCCCAGGAAATTAATGAAGATGAAGATCAGAAAAGCAATTTAAGCATGTAAGTGCATATTACACCTTTTCATTAGAACATCGAAAATTGGACAAATTTTGTGTTATATTTATAAATATTTCTTTACTTCGTATTCTTTGTAGAAAAGCTATAGAGCCGCCCAAAACGGAAGTAAAACTGTCTCATGTGAATTTAACGAATGCAGAAACAGTTAGTAACTTATCATCGAATACATCAAATTCTGGCAGTGGGGCTGCAGCAAGTTCACACTCGAGTAGTAATTTTAGTAAGCGGTCAACTAGAAAGATACGATCTATAAAAAGTGCCGCCAGCATCAGAACAAATCCGGCAAAACTGAAAAGTAGAGCAGTCACAGCCAAGCCAAAGAAACCGGTCTCACCTCCGCCACACTCTGCAGAAAGGGAAAGAGAACAAGGCAAATATTAATTTTTTTTTCTTTTATTTTTTTAAACTTCCAAAATTTCATTCATAAGGAAAAAAATAATCAATACAAAGCCGCTTATATGTAAAATTTGCTTTCAATCATAAACCTTCTTATTTGCTTTAGGTGGAGACTATCTTATAGAAATTTGTGGTCGTCATCTTAATATTTTCGGTCAAGGAGCTCTGAGATTTATAGAAAAGCAATGGAACGTTTCCAAAGCCAGGGATGTAACAACAGTTAACTTTAATTATTCTAATTTTAATTCAATTGTCGGTATTTTTGGGAAACTGAAACAGCGGTTTCCAAATATTGAAAATTTCGTTTTCAAAGAAACAAATATACACTGTTTAGGGCAGTTGAATGCGTTAGCGGAAATACAAGGATTTGTCTCACTTTTTATTCACAGTGACGGGAATCCTATTACACAAAAACTTTGGAGAAGTTACGCAGTATTTAGGCTAGTGCATTGGGGATTGAAAAAGATTAATGATAAAGAGGTACATAATGTGAAGTATGATGCACTCATGTAATAAATATTCTTATTACAGAAAGAAGTTAAGTTGTTGTTTCTTTTAGGTTTCTGAAGAAGAAATAAAGGAAGCCAATGAGGAATATCAAAGTCTTAGTGATCTTGTCTTATGGTCCTTACCAGATATACTATTGGAGCCACTTTTAAACAGGTTGCATTTAGATCTGAGTCGAACACAGGGACAGAATGCAAAAAAGTGGCTTCAATCAATTGATCCAGCATTGAAAAGCGTCGTTAGTAAAGAGGCATTACAATGGAAAAAGAATTCACCAACCCATGTAAGCTGCATTTAAGAGACTTCCATTGTATATTAATTTTCTTAAGAATACTATCAAAGAAAATTTGAATTTTCAGGAAGATCTTTTACTGAGACAAAATAGTAAAGCTCATATGGGAAAAATGTTACAAGACACTTGTAGTGCCGTTTATAAATTAAGACAACTTGATCGGCATTGGTCTGATGTGTTTCATGAGGTTGTACGGAACATTGTTCTGGACTATGCTCATTTAGATATGTATATGAAGAAGAAGATGCAAGAAGTACAAGCCAGCGGACTTTCACTGCCATAGTTTGCATGATTTTAGCACCAACATTGAAACAGTACAAAATATCGAGTTAGGTAATAGTTTTAAGATTTAATTAAGTCTGTTGATTACAATTTTTAGATGTTTTGTAAAAAATCTGTAAACTTATTGTACGCTAAGGTGATAACTTTGTTTATTTTTTATTTTATACTCAAAATATACTTTTTTGCACAAATATTTATCGTAGTTCTACTAATTAGTCAACATTTAGCCTTTCACGGTAAATACATAAAAGGTACTTAAATATTGAATAAAACGTGGTACATCCTACAAGTTAATATTTTTATTAACGATAAGAGTTAAAATTAATGTAACAATTAGGAATTTATGTTTGGCTAAAAATGAATAAACATCATTTTAATTAAATACATTTTTACGTGTTTACAATAAATTAAAAAACATGGCAATGTAAAGTATCACAGACTAAATCGTTGAATACTAAAAACAAAAAAACTAATTTTTAAATTGCATTTCATTCAGCCTCTATATCCTGCGCGAATGTAACTTCATAAAGAGAGAGACTGAAAAATTGCGAAAACTTAATGAGATAATT